AGCGCAGCGCAGCGGGAGATCCGCGGGTGCGGAGCGGGGCCGAACCCCCAACCCCCCCATCCCAACCCATCCCATCCCGTCCCTATGGCAGCGCTCCGCCTTGGGCGCTGCGGGCAGCGGGCGCTGCGGGGCGGCCCCGCACAGCGCGGAGTTCCGCGCATCCCCCCGCACACTTCTGAGGCCGTAATTTGATTCCGCGGAGGGGAAACCAATTTTCTAATAAATGTGGGAGGCTGTGGAAGCAGCGCGGAGCGGCCGAGCCGGCCGGGCTTCTCAATGCTTTACTGTTCGCCTGTAAATCGGTTAGATGGAGGCTAGTTTAATTTTGTTGATAAATCGGTTCCGTTGGGGTGCGTGGGGGGGGTGTTGTTTCTTTGCTGATTTATTTTTAACCCGGGGTTGTACAAGGCTCTGACAGTTTGGATAAATTAGCCAGGCTTCGCAGCCTTCTAATGAGAGGATATTATTTCAGCACCTCGAAAGGAGCGTGAAAAATGAGAGAGACTCCATCCGGAGGTGTCGGATCGATTCAGGATCAGGGTGTAAATTATATACAACTAAATATCTAACCGCTGATACAGCTGCTTAATACGGAGCTTAGAAATGCAACATTAAACAAAGATTATAAAACGGATCGACGCGGCGCTGCCCGGCCCCGGAGCTGCGCGCTCCGCTCCCGCGACACCCAAAAAATATCCATTAAAAAATGAAAAATCAAATGAAATAAAACCGAGTTTCCCCTCCCTGGGTGCGGAGATGCGGCCTCGCTGCTCCCGGAGCGGTCCGCGAAACGACAACAATTTCCAACCTGCTCTAAATATCCATTTAGGAATACAGAGTAGTAATTATATAATTTAAAACCAATTTAACATTGCATAGCACTACAGTAAATATGCATATTGCTAATAAGATTTACACAATTACTCCGGTCAAACAAAGCGAAATGTTTACCGCCTCTCAAAATATAAATAATAAAATTCAACTCGCACAACTTTTCCGAGCTGGGGAAGGAGGGCAAAATCCGTACGTCGGAAATTCGGAGTAATATTTGATACCCGGCGAGATAATAAAACTAAATATTTACAGGCTGCCTCTCACAGTTAATAAAATACGATTATCTGATAATCCTTAGCAGCGAGGCTATTTGTATAGTTAACAGCTGATTACAAAAGTACTTCCAGGAGGCGGGATGGGGTCAGGGCGGCTCTGCACATCCTCCGCGCCGGGGTCAGCCCCGAAACATTACAGCATTAACAGCCCGACGTGCGGGCCGAGCCTGCGGGCCCTCTGCGAGCCGCACCGCGGGGCTGGGGCTGCC